CTGCGTTGAATACTTTCAGAGCTGGAGTGTTTTCGTCCATTCGGATGCAGCGTAGCCGCTGTCAATTAAGTCGTATTTCTCCTAAAGCTCTTCGTTTCATCCAATGCGATAATTGCCGTTTCTCKSGAAAAAAMTACTCATTTGCTTYACTTTCTTATTCAGTCTGGAGAAAGYAAAATTAAAGACGCWGAAGTTGAGGMCAATGATATCAATATCATTTRCGCAGCAGCTGTACATTCTTATAAAATATTTGCCTCCTCGATTCAGCTGTGCAGCTCGAAGCAGTAGATTAAAGAAGTCGTATGATCGAAGAGGTCATTCTGGCGCAGCTTTTGGTATTGCTCAACGTCACTCTCATTATACGTATMTACCTAAAATTCTATTTATTGTTAAGGCCTTTACCTTAAGAAATTACAATGCCGAGACATATTATGCTTAGAATRTGCAGTATTTCAATGTTAACTAGTCCACTCTTAGTTTTGGAAGTCATAAAATGGGTTTGCTAATAAATGAAGATTGGCCACAGAGAGTAACCCAGCACTCCCAGCTTAAGAGAATGTATTCTATACCGTATTAGTGACTCTCACAACCAACAAATGAAGTGAGATATATTTAAACGGTTGGGAAAATATTTAGAAGAGCTCAGTCAACACACTCCCGTTTGAAAACACATTACTTCAATGTATGAATGAATTAAGACTCAGTTTCTTTAAATTCTTTATATTAAGAAGAGGTTGGTTGACTTAAAAGGTCGATAAAAAACAGATCTCACTTGGTCAGCTGGGAATGTCGTCTAAAGTAATACGAAAATGCGCCTAAGGGTTCACCAAAAAGTCTAATAAAAATCGAGAATGAACTTTCAGTCTACTACAAAGTTGGTGTAGCGGCGCATATCAATTCCAGCTATGACTGTCGAGTTGTCTCGATCTGATTTTTGCAAAAGCTTTACAATGGGGAAGAACAAAATTTATTCTTACCTCATACATGCCTATTGTACCATATATTGACCAGTAAGAACTCCTACGATTGCGACAAGATGAATCATTCTGCGAGCAGTTCAAGGGATCTCCGGCTTTCTGTACAATGCCAGAAATATCTCGTTATCACACAGAAGTTAGGTGTTGAGCTGCGACTGCCGAGTTCACGCGGAGTCCAGAGCGAGAATACAAGAGGGAAACGAAGACCCAACTCGTTTCCAAGCTGATGTAATAGAGGCAAAGCGTGCCRTCTTTTGCAAGCTCATCGGCATTGCTATAACAAGGCCTCCAAAAGAGTCTGATTATAAAGTAGCTTGACGTTATTGGTAGTGATGGCAGATAGCTACCTCTGCTGGTAGTCTAAAACTATGCTTGAGGGAGTTAAAGAAAACTTCCACTTCAACCTTCCTTCCCTCAGAATTTTGACTCATTATTGAAAAAGTTTTCTGTGAGACTCTGCGACGCGATTATTGAAAAAGCTTTCTGTGAGACTCTGCAACGTAATGAACTCAGTTTTGTGATTGCATTCTTTTACCCGATTTTTTCTTCTTTTTTATTCAAATTACCTTTAGAAGTATAAAATAAGACACGCCATTGTTGTGAAAAGAAGAAAAAGTTTAATGAGAACTCAAAAAATRTTTTTAAGACTTAACTAATTTAAAAAGTCCTTTGCAAGGCGAAAAATGCAAATATATAAACGATTGCATACTTACAGGTGCTGCCGAGCACAACATTGTATTTCAAGTTGCAACACATTGTATGTATTGCATACTTTTAGGTGCTCACCGTGCATGTTRCTAGCAAATATGTATCGCACAAGCTATAAATAACTGTACAATTGCGCCTCCGGTAAAAGGCGACCTCCGCACTTACCATTCATATTTGTTTTTGTTGTTGTTTTGTCGCACAAGGCTTATAACTGCTTGGCATTGTCTAACCGGCATTCATCATCAGACGCTTATTTGATATGCAAATCATTTATTTCTATTTGTTGTTGTGTATTTTTTTTGTTATGCACATTCCATATCTTAAAGAAGCTATGAAATTATTGCTAGCAAACAGCCGGCAGCGACAATTCCCTGCCTGAGCTACACACAATAGCCCTGCAATTGKCGTCGAGCGTTCGGCGGTGTTGCGCCTCTGGTGATGCAACAATTTTATGTTTTATTGTTGTTTACTGGTATTTACTGTTGGCGTTATTTACCGTTTCCCGACATTTCGATTGCAGCCGCTGGGGGCTGCACAGCGCAGCGTTGCCTTTCCAATCGCCTTTACCACCGTTCGTGTGCAGTCCGAGCTATGCGCCACTGCACTTCACTTTCCCTTACTGTACTTTGTTATTRTTGTTGTTGTTGCTTAAGACATTTGTAGCCTTTGGTTGTTTTCTTGTTTGACTTCTTTCTTTTCTCGCTTCCGTCGGCCGCTTGCTGCACGGGCTGCTTTGGCATTCATTCATGCAAATACATAATTCTTCATCTGCCACTGTTGTATTTACGTGCACACACACATATGTACGTACATTTGGTAGTGGTTACAATACTTGCTTTGTTTTATGTTTCTTCGCATTACTTCTTTTCTTGTGTTGGTTTTTTTCCATCGGCATATCGCTCTGTGTAAGCCAGTTGCAACAATCACAGTAAATCACGGCATACTTCAAGGCGCTCTTACTTACTTCACATTGTTTTCCTTGTTATCATGCTTTTTAACTTCCCATTTTTCTTAGACCGTTGGTTGGCGATGCTTTTTCTTTGAGTGTTGGGCGAGGTTTTCTGGCCTCCATACTTAGAAGTGAGAATTGCCATAATTGTATCTAGCCGTTGGACTGAACTCACTGTTATAAGAATTTTATGCAGTCAAACAAAACTCTTTGAGAAACTGACTTGTTTCTGTATCAGAAATCTTGTTTCGCATCCTAGATCTATCTTTCTATTGTTCAATTTTACAAAAAATATTAAAAATTAAAATTATTAGAGGGGGGAGACACAGGTGTAAAAAAAATGGCGCATCCTGGTGAAATTGAACCTGACTCTCCTGGTGGTCTGAAAAAAAAACAATCAAATTCTTAATCAGTAAGGATGCTATTATAGTCTCTAAATCAGGGAACATGAATTTTTTTTTTCAATGGCGACTGCCTCAAAATATTTTTTTACGCTTATTTTTTGAAATTCCTGATGTTTTTCCAATAAAGGATTATATAAAGTATTCAAGTAGAACTTGAGATAATGCCGGTACCGTGTGGAAAAAAGTAGGTTCGAGAAAAACGCGTTTAAAAAAGTTAGTCAAATTTCAGGCAATCTAAGTCATTTATTAGTGCGCTAGGTACTAAATAAAGTAAGCTCTTGAAATAATTTTAATTTTTAAAAATCCTTCGGGGGATATGTTCTTAAGGGTCTAAACTTTAAATATATGAAAAAAATGGAATTTTTAAAAATTCTAGAGTAGAATACCCCCATAAAAGTTTACAACTGCATTCGGTTAATTGTAGCTTGAATAGGATAATACTAAGTTTGCCAAAGAGTTTGTAGCACCAAGAAGAAAACGTGGGAGAGTTTTGACAAATTATCTTCACAAAATATATTAAAGATTATTATTCAAGGCAATGCTATAATCTCCGAACGAATCATATCGAATCACTATAGCATATAGGCTTGACTTATCATATATTAAAATAAAGACATTTTTGGTTACCATAGCTTCGACTCATATCACGTTTTTTCTTATTTTTTGTTTTGATGACTTTAATATTCTCATAGACCCAGCAAATGACAATATATTATGTTAGATTTTCTACATAACGCTAACCTGTCTAAAATCTTTCGCTTTCTAAAATCATAAACAAATCAGTTTATTATATATTTTCTCATTTTTACTATAATGAGAATGTTATAAAATATATATTGAATATCCGTATTGCTAATAAACCTTCAATTTTATTTTTTTTCTTTTATATTTATAATGAACCAAATTTGTACCATTTTGATCGACCATATTTTGCCATTTTTCCGCAAGAGACATTATTCCAGCAGTGTAAAAATTTTTTAGTTTCTCCGCAAAAAACTGGGACAAGTAATTTTCACAGGCATTTTCTGAAATAAACTTTACGCTCTTATGAGAGTTCTGCATTGGCCGCAACAAATGGCAGCCCGATGGTGCAATGTCAGAGCTATATGTTGGATGCATCAAAACTTCCCAGCCAAACTCCCCCAGATTTTGCCGAGTCATCAAAGATGTGTGTGGTCTAGCGTTGCCCTAATGAAAGACGAAGCCCTTTCTGTTGATCAGTTCTGCCCGTTTTTTTTTCAATTGCTCGCTTCAATCTCACCAATTGTTGTCAGTAAAACGTAGAATCAGTCGTTCAACCAAGCTGGAGCAGCTCATAGTCGATGATTCCTTTCCAATCCCACCAAACACTCAGCATAATCTTTCGATGCCTCATTGCTGGCTTTGCGACCACTTTTTGAGCTTCAACACGCTTGGACCATGATCCTTTTCGCACATTATTGTCGTATTTCATCCATTTTTCGTTTTTTGTTATCATTCGCTTTAGAAATGGCTCGATATTATTTCGTTTCAGCAACGAATCGCAGATGTTATTTCGGTCTATTAAATTTTTCACAGACCATTCCTTTAGTACCCAAACATCGARCTTCTTTTTGTAGCGAACCCCATTTTAAATAGTTCAAAACCGTTTGGTGTTGAATGTTAAGCTCCTTAGCGTTGTGATGGCTGCTTATGTAACGATCCTGATTAACCTTTTCCATAATTTYRTTGACTTTTTCAACGATAGGTCAACCAGAGCGAGATGCGTCTTTCACATCGAAATTTTCCAGAACGAAAGCGTGCGAACCATTGTTGTGCTACACGAACTRATACAAATATAATATTATCCTTTCAAAACAGCCTATTGCTTATGATTCAGCTTTAATTTTTGAATCACCAAATATAATTACTTTCATTTATAAAACTTAAAACTGGTCAATAATTACTAATTTATTGCTTATAATCGCATTCGTAATCTTTCAGCGACTTCAAATCGAAAACGTCATCWCGATATGGCGCCGCCGTTACAGCTGCAAACACACCGACTGGTAGCGTCAACACGCCCACCACAGCCAGAGCTAGCAATATCAATAATAATGCAGAGCGTACACCGTCCATGATGTATGTGTTGCATGGACATGAGCACATTGAATGTGAGTAGAAAAAAAAATATTTTTTTTTTTAACTTTTTTTTTGGGTTGAAAATGGAATGCTTAACCTCCAAAAGAAAAATTTTTTGCAAAATGGTAAACATAACAAAAAAAAAAAAAAAAAAAAAAAAAAAATAAAAAAAAAAAAAAAAAAAAAAAAAAAAAAAAAAAAAAAAAGAGCACGGATAAAAAAAAATTTTTTTTTGTTTTTTTTATATCCCCTAGGCACAACTAGAATTGCTAGTCAGGCGTTTTGCAAACCAAATTTCCGTTTGTAGTCGCAAATAAATCTTTCTGAAGCAAAAAAAGCAAAAGCAAGCAAGCGGTCAAATGCGGCAGTGAGTTGTTGGAAGCGATTGCGCATTTTACTAACCTATTACTTTCTTAATCCGTTTGACTTAATATTTCTGATGCCCGTGTTTTGCCGTTAGTGCGCAGCATTGTTGCAAAACAACAATAACAACAGTGAGCACGAATGCGATGCCAAATGTCAGTGGACTAAACTCGTTGAAAGGATGAAGCAACGTGTTAGTTGTTGTTGTCGTTGTTCATGATATTTTTGATTTCTTTTACAGACATTCATACACTGAAGCAAACAATATAGTTGTTTTTGTTATTTTGTTTGCAAGCATCCATGCACTGGTTGCTTCAACGGCAGCAAAAATATGGTCCGTCGCAGCAGTGACACGGCTGCCGATCCGTAAATCCTAGCAATTTCGGTTGGCGCGTGCAATATTTTCACAAGCTTTTATTTTATTTAAAATTTTATTATTTTTTTTTTGGAATTTTTATTTTATTTTTTTATTTTTTTAATTTAATTCTTTTTTTGGAATTTTTATTTGCATTTTTTCTTTGAATTATTATTTTATTTTATTTTTTTGGATTTTTTGTTTTGAAATTTGATTTTTATTTATTTTTTTTTTTTGAAATTTGATTTGCTGCCATAGTTGTTGCTTTGAAAAGGTTTAACCGCTTTCCATTCACGGACAGTGTCTGTGCATATATGTGGCTGTATGTGCATGTGTTTGTGCGCATGATATATTTAAATGGAAAATATGATGGCGTTGCTCAACTAATTTACCATTCGACTGCCGCGACTCACTTCACATTGTTGTTGTTGTTTGTCTCTTCTATTTGTAGTTTCGCAGCACAGTCTGCACAGTCACTGCTGTTGTTGTTGTGGATTAAAAACGTTTTTAAAAAATAGCGCGTTCTGAATGAAATAAACCCAAATAGAGCCGTAAATCCACTAGTCGTTTTTAATTAAAATGAAAGCTTATAACATAAAACCGGCTACTTCATAGTGCGCGCTATTTTTGTTGTGTTTTCTATTTGTAGTTTTTCCATTTAGTACAAACGAGTGGTAACATTGCGCTCGTTCGCCATTTTAAGCGAAATTTTGAAATGGCTGAATCAACTATGGAGCCATAGAGGCCATTAAGCGCCTAAAAGTGCGCTAACGTAGTGTGTTCGTGTCTGTATATGTGTGTGTGTGTGTGAGGTTGGAGGTGAAACTCATCTCCGCTTGTRTTTCGGTAGTTAGTCACGTAAGAAATTAAATTTTTCTCTGACTTGTGGAACTTTTTTTTGGATTGTGGATATGTATGTGTGTTCGATTCTATGTTTGAAGCTGTCTGTCTATATATCATTTGTATTCGTGCGGTCTAAATAACAATTCATAACATATATAATTTTGTGATATTACCCTTATTAAATTATTACAAGAGGATTGCACCGCGACCTTAGGTCTATTGTGCCCTTACCCTTCCTTGGTTTCATCAGCATTAAACTAGTTTCAGTAATTCAGATGAGTTTATTTCTGAACAATATTTGAAGTTATAAAATATTGAGGAATGCACTGCGGTCTGCGGTCTATTGCGCCCTCTCCTGTTAGTACAACGTTCCATTTATCCAATCAAAAAAGGTCTTATCGGACTGAATGCCATACCTTCTTTGGTCAGGAAGTTGACTAGCTCACTTCCATTGATGCTTCGATGACCCGAGTTCCAAGCTAGTAAAATGTTATTTTTAGTCGCAACCCTATTAAGAATTCTTATGCAATCCGTCACAATTGTTGATTTGATTTCAACGGACGAGGTTGCGTGAAGTGGCGCTTGACTATCTCCGATCTAAAATAAGGAATGTCTTTATTCGTCGAGAGAGGACCTTACTTCTCAATGTCCGAAGGAGCACTTGTTGGCAAGAGTTATTTTYCGTGGTTCCCGGTTTATACTGGTTCCCACCCAGTGCCACATGATTAATGATAATTGGTACCTAAATATTATCGATAAATAAGCCAATGTCTATTAGGAATGAGTGCAGTTTTGTTTGTATAATGTCGTATGTCGACTTTGAGTTCAATCTTCTTTCTGATCTTTGTGTTTCCTTTTGGGAAGTGAAATATTATAGCAAAAATGAAGCACTTAATTGTTGTACTTTTACCTTTTGGCGGCTTCCTCTTCGCCTTCATCATTTGCAATTACCTCCAGCGAGAAAGACAAATGATACGCAATGGGAAACCAACTTTTCTGCTCAATTAGAAGAAGAGTTTGGCGAAAACAGAACTTGTCTCTTYATCCCATCCATTTGACAGTGTTGCTTAAAGATACCGTGTACATTAGTAACTAGCGATAATTTTAAAGCCAGTAAAAGTGCAAAATCTTTGCCATTCTATCATTTGTTGCTTTTGCGAAGGCAAAGTGGTCAGTCAAAAGCGTTTTTGCTTTGACCAAATGTTTCCACTCACACGTTATCTAAAGTRTAACTGGTCATCTTCATCATTATTGGCCATTAGTTGGACACCGAATTCGGTGGAGCCACGATAATGGCAGTGAAGATTGAATGCGTTTTCGTGAATGTGCATGGATATGTAGGTAGTTGCGTGAGCGCGCTAAAAAGTAGTAGCAAAACAGGTAGGGAAAATCAGTTGAGATTTTAAATTAGTTGTCCAGTTGGGAACTAGTTCTACTTTATGTGATCTAATTTTTTCACCGACAATTATTSAAATGTTTAAGACTTAACTTAGCGTGACTGCGGTAAATTATGCGCCCTGTTGGGTTCTGCAGAATGTCAAAGACATATTTTATAATATATATGTCGGAAATATATTTTTTTTTTATGCACTGAACTTTATTGAATTATTATGATAAACCTTATTTTGCTATTAAAATTGGTCTGAAGGGATCGTATTTAAGTTAGAACGAGTTCTGTAAAAGTCTGTTCCTRGTAACTTGTAAAATATGTTACCATTATATAAAATAGTTGTTGTTTATAATTTTTTTATTATTACTTTCATAAATATTATCGCATTTATTGTCTACATACTTTATTTCTTTAATAAAAACTACTTTAGGTATGTGTCTTGGCTAACATAAGCCTAAATGTAGGCAACGTTTCCCCCTTTTTCTATTAGGAACGTTCGGCTGTACCGAAGTTATAATAACCTTCGCAGGTGCACSTCTAAGAACATAAAAGGGTATAAAAGAATTTTATCTTGATTTTGATAGGTCATTTTGTGTGGTATGCCATAGTGGTCTGATCTAAACAAGTTGCTCGGACATTGTAGCGTTATCTTGACCAATAATATGTGACGAATTTCGTGCAGATTATTTGCCAAATGAAAGAGTTATCCATGAAATAACTTGATTTTGATTGTTCAGTTTGTATGGAAGCTTTAATTTATAGACTTTTGATATAGATGGTTTCGTGAAATGAGCAAGTTTTCGGGTAAGCAAGGATGTGTACAAGAGTTCAGCGCGAAATTTGAGTTCTTGTTCGCGGTCAGGCCGTCTTGATATCTCAATTATATTTTTTACTTTTTATCTCACACTTATCTTGTCTCATCTCACGTTGCATCCAGTCGTCTTGGAATATGCGAGATTGGTGAATTTAGTTACAAAGTGTCACATTCATTGTACTYAGAGAGCTGAACAGCTCGGGCTATTTTCGATTTCAAGCTTGTTTTCCGATATTATGAAAATTATTTGCCTAAAACTGTTGCAAGTGAACAATACGTCGAGAAGGCATCAAATACTGAATCTATTCTAAGTCTGCAATAATTTAATTAAAGTTTGTTACAAATATGTTATGAAATGGCCTTAAATTATCTTCGTAGGTTGTTGCCTAAGCTATCGGAAACATGTCATTGGTAAATGACAAAATATTATGAGTTTTCGAACCAACATAGATTTGAGTTCTTTTGTTTTGGGTTGATTTGGTCTAAAAAGCGACTGAGGTATATAAAATGGATGCTAGAGATAAAATTTTGCTGCAGCTATTCCGCATCTAAGGCCTTAGTTTGGCATACCACATACAATGGCACTATTGATACCGAATCATTTAACCAGTTTCTATCTTGGCTTTGGTTAGCGTAAGTAGTGGTGTTGCGGCCAATTTTCCGACCTCAGCGTTCTTTTCGACCAATATACGTTTGATTTCCTTCAGATGCTGTATGAATTCCTGGTGTATTTCATATGGTGTATGAGGACGTTTCACACCTTGTTTTTTGCCACCGTCAGGGCTGTTACCGTCTAATTTTTTTAGTAAGCATTACGGCGCTTACGTGTTTTATTCATTATCCGAAAATCTATACTTATTTTAAGACTATTTCTGAGTTTTTTTCGATGCTGCCGTCTTGCCTTTACSTTTGCCTTCGTCTTTTGTAGAGTTATTATCGTAACATCAGATTTTCAGAAGCCTCTGAGATCATCTCGGAGTTGTTTTTTTCTTTTTCGACGTCGAGGGATATTCCTCCTCTTCCTCAATGTCACTGTCTGTCACCATGAAGCGTCGACCTTTGCGCCGTTCGTAAATCGCATGACCTTACGTACCTTATGAAATACCAGCAATCTCGAATCACTATTATTAGAAACGGCTATGGTTGTACTCATATCTTCTTCWTCATCATCAACGAAGGAAGAGATTTTGAAATCAACGTCGGTCGCATTTTCCACCTTGGAGATAATAACGAATGTGGTCAATTTGCGTGACTTCTTTCTGATAGA